ATTTTCCCTTCTCAGTCTCTTTCAAAAGGTTTGTGGCCAGTTACTTGCAGGAGCTGCCCCGTAAGAGCAGGTGTCAGCCACTGCAGGTTTGTGTCATAAAGTCAGTCCATGCAAGTCCCCAGTTCAGGCTTCTCCTGCTCATGAGGGTTCCCAGACAGAGCCAGGAGTACAGCATGTCTTCTAGGTTTGGGAGGCTGGCTCCTGCTGAACTTGTGAGTCTGGGAGCTATCAGTTCTTGGAAGTCACCTTGCCCCCTGCCAGCCAACCATCTGAGATGGGACATAGCAGACACAATTCCATAAGGGGGACACAGGGAGAGCAGAAGCTGAGCTCACATTGGTCTTCAGTCAAGGCATGTACCCTCCTGGGTGTCAATTCAGGAAGAGGTTTTCAGAAACGGGGAGGTCAGCACAGGATATGCCAACAATGAGCCAGAGATACAGAGGAGAGGTCAGAGGTCAGAGCCCAAGGAGCCAAGGCAATCTGCTCCAGAGCAGGAAAAGAGAGCTGGGGTGGATCCGGGTTCTGGGGTGCCAAGGCAATGCTGTATGGGCCATGGAACATTCTACATATCTCTAGCTACAGGCAGAGCCTGCTCTTTAGCATGTGGGGGAGGGGGTTGCAGATAGGAGGGTCTTCCTCTCGGGACTTGGTAAAGATGCAAAAGGACTGATTTAAAACAACTGAGCAATTTTGTAAATGAAGTAAATGCCATCTATTATACAGTGCAGAGGTATATATACTTCTATACTACAAGTCGATATGGATTCGACAGGTAACACAGAGTTCTCCTTACACTAGTTGTCAATCCTTCTTCACAAGGTTGTTGATTAGAGCTACAAGCCAAGAATCAAAGGCCGACCAGAGGCTGTTGTGGCCCATGTCACGCTCAGAGTTCACGCTGAGTGAAGTACACTTCACCTTGGCTCACCCTGACCTCACTGGGTGAGGGATTCCCTCCATCAGAGCAGGTGGAGCAACTACGCAGCCCCAGGCTCTGGGTAGCTGTTGCATCTTTGAAGTACAGATTTTTTTTTTTTTCTTACTGAATTTTTATAAAGCTGACATTATAGTAGCAAAGTGGGAGTGGAGCAAGTGTCTAAAATCCACTCATGTGGATTCAAATCCCAGTTTTGCCATGTTAAAAGTTGTAGACATGTAAACATAAAAATGTCCACAAGTGGTGTGTGGAGGGACTTGGGTATTACATATGCTCCCTGAATCTGTTTTCTTTACCTGCAAGGCAGGTCCTACAAGGCTGTCTTAACAGGCTCATTTAATGAGATGAAAGAATGCACAGACAGCCCTGAACGCAGTGCTGCAAATTTAGAAAGCATAAGTAACCATTAGCTATTGTTAGTAAAATTAATACTGAACACTTTCATGAAAAGGCAAGTGCTTCAAAAATGACCTTGTAAAATGCCATCCCTAGGAAATTGGGTAAAATTGCAGCAGCCCTCCTGTCCTCATCTTCCCCTTCTAGGTCCTACAGTGTGGACAGCATTTGTTCTGCAGATTTGATCCCAGTGACCTCAAGGGTTCCCTTTGGCTCAAGATAGAAACCATAGTCTACAACTTGACTTGTGTGGCCTCTACATCCAGAAGCCAATCTCCTTCCCACCCAGCTCCATGCTCTTTCAACCACATGGACCTTCCCTGCCTCAGCCCCACCCGTACCTCCATGAACCCAGCGCTTCCTGCTTGCCTTTCAGACGGGAATAGCGAGCTCTCCTTGTCCCTGCAGGCAGCCACTCCTCCAAGTGTCACTTCCTCCTGAAGTGCTAATTCCCAGGTACTCTGCTCTCTAGCACCTGACTACTTGCTGAGAACAAGAGCCTCCTGGTTAAACCTGGGAGCCAAATGACCCACATTTGAATTCTGACTCCTCTGTGAGACCCTGGGCAAGTTTCTCCACCTCTCCCTGCCTCCATGCTTTTGTCTATGAGATGGAAAAAATGAGATTATTGAATTCATCCTGTTGTTAATGACCATAAATTGAAGGGAGATCATATTAGTATATAAGAATTGTTTCTGCACATACTAAGTATCCAGACCTATTAGCAAGGCTAGCATAAGTTATTAGCATTATCGTTATTATTTTACCGGAATAGAGGCTCTTTAAGAAAAGAGTGTCTAATTTATTCACTGCCTAGCACATAAAATGAGCTGGGTTCAGCTGTTGAGTAACACACCCCAGTGTATGTGGTTAGCTGTTAAACACCCCCTCAGCAGACTGTGAGCACCTTATCCATCCTATTCCCTGAGTTCTGCTCAGTGAGCACAGAATAGACCCTCCATAAATGAATAAATGAACGAACCCATAGGCCATTTGCACTGTCTCCTTATGAAACATTAGCTTCAGGTCTAGGTTTATTCAAAATAAAGTGCATGCCCTTTGTTTGATAGTGACCCTTCTGAAATGGTCATACAAATGGCTTCTGAAAACTGTTGGAAACCAGGTAGGGGCTTTATCCCTGGGCTGACTCCAGAGCATGAGGAAGTTCCTGCCCCCAGTTTCGTCCCCAGGGCCTTCCTTCCCTGAGGCCCTTCCTGAGCCCTGCTCTACCTCCCCCACTACAGCCTGGGAAAATTGACTCCTCAGGGTCAAGCCAAACATGGCTGGAGGAAAGCCAGCCATCACCTTATCCAGATCCAAAAATTTTCTCCCAGTTTGGAAGCTTCTTTCCCTGAGGGTCAGTCCTTCACACATGTTGCATCATGGGAAGGCGCTCTTCCTTCCCAAAGGACAGGAGAACGTGTGTCCACACAGCTTAGCAGTGCTTCTGCTTCAGTTTATGTATCTGAAGTGAAAAAATAAAATTGGGGAGAGGGGAGACCTTGGATAATGTGAATAACTGTGGTCTGTAGTCTCTACTAAAAGTCTGCTGCTGTTTTATAAGCGTCTTGGTCACCAATACCACTTCCTACTCCAAGCACAGACAGACTTGTGGTCTGATACGCTCACCGTGTTTCCTGTCGCGGGACATAGAAAGAGAGAAAGCTATAGCGTGGTGTTTGATGAGACAGCATAGGGTTGGATGGCCCAGCCCTTGCTGCTTCCATCCTGTGCTCACTCTTTCCTTGCATTGATGCAATAGGCAGTGAGGTTTCTTCCCTCCATATCGTGGGCCTAACGTACAGAGGGTTGTCCATGACTAACAATAAGTGTGGAAAATGTAGGTGATATCTTGTTGTCATCACCGAGAGCAGGGCTTTTCTGCATGCTCCATATGCATGTGGTGGTCCCCTGTGCTGTGGCCCTGTCCAAGGAAGGCCCCATTCTCTCTCCCCACCCACTACCTTAGGTTGCCCAGCCCTGCAACTGCACCGAGAAGCCGCGGCTCCCTCCGGGGTCATCCCACATTCCCAAGCCTTAGCTTCTTGCCTGTGGCCAGGAGTGTTTAGTTCCCTGGCTGTTTGGTCAAAGACATTCCAGAGAGGTCCAGGGAGTAAGAGCTGCCTTTAAACTGCTTCCAGTAGCCCCTCCAAAAACTCATAGTGGGAGCAAGTCATGTCCCCGCTCTGCCATGAACTTACTGTGCTAACCTAGACAGGCCACCCTCCTTCCCTTGTCTGTAAACAGGTGAAGGGACAGCTTTAAGAAACTGACAGTGCTGTGAGGGATCTCCCCCAAAGAGACTGAAAATTGTGGGTGTCATTTCAGAAAGGTCACAAGCTTCTAAGTGTTCTTGAGCCCCTTAAGGGTGCACCATAAATCTAATGAGCTGGATAAGAATCCCTGGACCCTGGAACTCTGACTCCAAATCTGTTTATTTTCTTATTTTGAATTGCAAAAAAAAAAAAAAACAGTAAGGTTAAGAAACAAAATATTTTTTAAAAGACATAAACCTATTACCAGGGAAATTGTTAATATTTTAGTAAATATCAGTACAAAAATTTTAGTATCAGGGACACAATCTTTCTGTCCTCTCACTCTTGACACACACGTACAGAAGCCCCTCTTTACACCAGGAATGTTTTCCCATGTCATTGAAATATTGTTTGACAACACAACAGCAGCATGGTAGTCAACTGCACGGTGATTCTGTAGTATATTGCTTAGTCTTCCCTAACTGTTAAGCACTGTGCTAGTTTCCTTTTTATTAGTGTTACTGTCTGCGTAGACAGCCCTGATTATGTTCTTGGGCTAAAAGTAGAATGGCCAGAAGGAACTTAGAAGGCCCCTGACACCCATAGCCATGGACCCTCCCAGACCCCCAGAAAGCTGTGCCATTTGTGCTCTCAGTAGGTGGTGGGGGTAGCTTGACCTGTGATCTCAAGTGACTGTGTTGAATCAGCAGACTCAGAACGTGATGCCAAGTGGGACTTCTCTTTGCTAAGACCTAACAACCCTCTGAGACCACAGCAATCATGTCTGATTTTAGGACTGGCTTAGGCACATTGAGAACTGGATAAAAATTGGTGTCATGTGCTCCCCTCACTCACCCCAACACAGCCAGACTGAATGAATGCTGGCTGACTCAACCACCACACCCTCACCTGGCAAGTTCAGCAGCGGCTGCCCTGCCCTCACCCCAGGATTCCTCCCCCTACATGGCCTCAGTGGGCTCTCTAGACTTGCCATCCTCAGTCTAGGAGTCTGTCACATGCACCTGTGTGAATGGGGGCCAGGAAGCAGGCTGAATCCTGAGTAGGACTGTCCTGAATCAGCCCAGATGGGAGACTATCAGACCCAGGAAGCTGAAAGCTGTGGCCAGGCAGGGGATAATGCCCCAGAGGCAGAGAGACAGTGCCTGCTCTGCCTCCTATGGGGTTGGTCCTCAAAGAGAGGAGCAGGGCCTCTCTGAAGAGGCAAATCCATTTCTCTTGAAATTTGGCTAAACAGAGTGTGTTACAGAGCATGAACCCAACGTGATGGGCAACACGCTTGGCATGCTGTGCTCTTCTCTGGGCTCAAGTCTGCCATTGGTGGTGGAGTCTGGGAGGGAAGACCACGCACGATCCATCCACTGCTGACTGGCTCTCTCTTGGCCCCACAGGCAGACGGCTCCATCCTGGCCATCGCTCTGCTGATCCTGTTTCTGCTCCTAGCCCTTGCGCTGCTCTGGTGGTTCTGGCCTCTCTGCTGCACTGTGGTAAGTGCCCCAAGCCCTGGCCACACAAGGCAAGGGTAACTTGAAGGCCCCAGGTGCACAAGTGATGAGAAAAGGACCAAGAACTGTAGCAGTGGGGGACAAATCTTGCATTTTTTTATGCAGTTTATACAAAAGCAACATAAACAAGCCGTGGTCACTAGAACAGTCATGAGCAGTCAACATGGGTCAGGATGTGAGACTGCCTATGGCCCAGCATTGGGTACAGCAACGAACCCAATGTTCTGGGTCTCGTAAGATTCTTAGCACTCATAGGACCCCACAAATGATGGGTGCTACTTGACATGTAATAAATATACTCTGTGTGCAGGTAAGTATATGCTATACACTCACGTGAGTTGAGTTTTCCCACCTGGCACTCTGCTAGAGTCTTAGCAACCGTTCTATCCATCCAAAAAGCGCCTCAGGCCTCTCCTTTCTGCTATAAAGAATTATTTCATTGATTTTAGTTAACATTTATAGGACACACCTCTGTGTGCCCATTGCTTGTCTAAACATTTTGTCTACAAGATCAATAAGGACTTGCCTCCTCCCCAGCACTGTCACCAGAATCACCACATAGCTCCAGTCAGTGTCTCCCCAGATGCTGTGGGGCCTGGACTCACCTGCTCTATTAATGATCTGCATGCCTAAAGCTTCTCTCCCCTGGCCCCTAGACTGGAAAAATCCCAAATAAAGTAATAGCCAAACAAAGAGAAAACTATCCATTCTGGCATATCTAGTTCTAGCATGTGCTTCACGTGAGTCAGGGGGTGTGCTGGAAAGCCCAGGAGAGCTGGAAGTAATGACTGCTCGGCCTGCAGGTTAACTAGACAGTGAGCCCTCCAGGACGGGCCAACGACTGACACCCATGTGTAGAACTGAACTGAGCTAAAACCATAGACACACAGAGCATGCGCTAGGAAAGGAGGGGAAAAAAGCTTCATGTAACATGTTAAAGGAGTGGTAAATTAAAAAAATGAGCTATCCAACCAGGAGGGGAACTATGTGACGGGGGCTTCTGGAAAGGGATGACTTGAGGCAGACAAGTACATATGTGTCCAGACAGGATTAAGTCTCCAGTCAGTTAGCACCATCTCAACTGGACTGACTTATCAAAATGTTAAACAGATTCTCTCCAAAGTAGCTCTAAGAGTTAAATATATTTTTAAACACTTAAGTCTGCACCACCATTTTTGGTGGTTAAAAAAAAAAAAAATCCCCATGAGTCAGCCAGAATGCTTTCTATGCTGATTCAAAACAAGCCCATTTTCAAGTCCAGAATTCTGAAGGAAAAAAAAAACATATAATGAAACAAAACACCTTGCAGTGTGGGCTCTGAAGGAAGGGGGTGGCAGGGCTGTTGGCCGCAGATACCTCTGGGTATGGACAGCTGTGAACAATAGAACGGCCAAGAAGTGCTCCACCAATTACTAGCTGTGTGATCGTGGACAAGTTACTTAAACCCTTTGTGTCTCAGTTTCTTCACTGGTACAATAAGAGCTGTATATTATTATTATTATAAAAAAGTGTTTTTACTGTGGTAGGAAATCTGTTGCTATACTGTATGACATTCAAAATAAACCTTTCATTATGGGAAGCAATGTCACCCGGGGCAGGATTGTTTTGCAATATTGAAAATATTTTTCAATGAATTTATCTGGTTAAGTCCCTGTTGGAAGGCAGCCAAAATGTCTTAATGTGGTCTGATTTTATAAGTCCCAAAGATTTCTTTATGAGGGAAGATCGTGGATACTAATTTTCCTGTTTACGTGTCTATTAAAACTGCCCCCGCCCCCTATTGCTGACAGCTGGCCTGGGCTCCTATGTTTGATATGTCCCCAAAACTCCTTGTTGATCACTTGCTTCTGTGATGAGTGATAAAGTCATGTGTTTTCTGAATGGCAGTGTACAGGAAGGAAGACAAACATGGGCCTTCCCACAAGGCCTCCATTCAGAGGATTCTGGAAAGTTTCTCTGCCCTGTGCGGCAGTACCCATCACCATAGTCCTCGAACTAACATAGAGTATCTTTGGGAATATGGTCTCTAAATCTCTCCCTGGCCTTTCCCCAAGTGTGTGAAATGCCCCATGATCTGGTACTGAAGCTGCATCTCAGTGTTGGCGAGACAGCTGTAAAGCTGCACTGCTCTCTCCAGGGGTCATGTTGAAAATGTGTGACAACCTGCCTGGCCTCACCCTAGCATAGCCAAGCTTAGCCCTTTAGTGAAGGAGTGAAGGATGAGGGCGGGAGCATGAAGTCCTGGAGGGTGGCTGGGTGGGAACTCAGGTGCCTATTTACTAACCAAAATTACTAGTGTGACCAGACTTGGCACAGTGTGTTCTGTAGGGCCTGCCCTCTGCCTCAGCATCCTCTGCTTCTTGCTGGTCCTATCTGGAAGGAGAAGTCTGATGGAGGAGAGAAGTCTGACGACCCCCCCCCACACACACACATTGCATTTGCCTTTCTCAAAGGACCCCAGCTTCCTCTGAGCTCTTAACTTCCAGCTGAATGGACCCTGAGTTGAATTTTTGTCAGCATAGCAAAGTATAATCTATCAGTAATGACTGATGGAGAGAGAAAGAAATGACCAGACCATGGATCAAAACTTCTAGCATTTCCCAGATAAACCATTCATGTTTTCAGAAGGGGAATTCAAGGGACAATGTTTTACCAGAAAAAAATAAGTCCTGCCTCAATTCTACCAGGGGCATTACTGGAGTGCTCCAGGTCACACCAGGCCCCCCATCTGCTCATAAAGATGGACCAATATTATTAAAATCACTAAACTGAACTTTAAAAAGAAGATGAGATGGCTGAAGGTGTGGCTCAGGTTGTAGAGGGCTTGCCTAGCAAGTGCAAGGCCCTGAGTTCAAACCCAGTACCACAAAAGAAAAAAGACAGAAAGAAGGGAAACCTGATTGAGAAGAGGACCATGGGGAAAAAAATGAAATGTATTAAAAGAGTCAATGTTATAAGTGGCTTGAATGAGGCTTGGCGTGGTGACTGACTTCTGTAATCCCACTTACTCAATAGGAGGCACAGATGAGGAGGATCCAGGTACAAGGTCAGCCTGAGAAAAAAGCTAGTGAGACCCTCATTTCAATAAAAAACCTGGTGTGATGGTATGTGCCAATGATCCCAGCTACACAGGAGGCTTAAGTAGGAGGATCAAGGTCCAGCCTGGGCAAAAACTCAAGACTCTATAAAAATTGACTAAAGCATTGGAGCATGGCTCAAGTGGTAGAGCAACTAGCAAGTATGAGGCCCTGAGTTCAAATCCCATACCGCCACAGAGAGAGATAGAGACAGAAAGATGGAATAATTAATCAGTGATATTAAATGACCACTATACTGTTCCAAAAAGTACAGGCATCCCTGAGAGTCACCCCAATTAAGTGCCCAGTGTGAGCCAGCAGCCTAGGTGGGCTGATGGCTTCATGTACACACAGGCACAGGCAACCACATCTGCTCAGTCTCCACAGTAGCAAGACAGATAGATTCAGGTTAGCAGTGGGGCCTGGCTCTTCCAAACCAAAAGTGTGGAGGCCAGAGTGAATGTCTGCCTGGTCTCTTCAGTGACTGAGCCAGAAAGCACTCTCGTGCACAGCCTCAGTCCCTTATCTGCCACCGCCACTTGGCTCTCCCATCCCCAGAGGAACCCACACAGTGAAGTGCATTCTCTCTCCTGCTCCACGATGCTGATCGCCTCAGGACAACCTTGCGCCCACATGCTTACTGTAGCTCATGCATGTTGACAGGCCTTCAGCACTGCTTAGCAGACATCTAACTTATCATCACAGACAACTGTCCCTCCCAACAGTGGCCATTCTCCTGGAGCTCCTGTTCTACCACTGGCCCTTCAGTGCTCAGTAGACACCTACTGTTCCTTGAACACCCTGCGCCTTGACCTCCATCACCGTGTCTCTCTAACCACTCTCTTGCAAGTGGTCTCTGCTCATTCTTATTCTACTTACCTTTCAGCAGCAGGCACCGTGGACCTCACTGTCATCTGCTGTCTTCTGCTGTCTCTCCTCCCTACCTCTCTGTTCAGTCATCTCCCCTGGATCCCTCATTGGTTCTTGTGCCTCTGCCCACCTCTCATTCCCCAGGATTATCTCTGTTCTTCTTCAGCACACATATTCCCTGGGCAGCATCACCAGCCCCCATTACTCCAATTACCTAAAGTGGTCACCGTCACTGGCCTTGGCTGCAGAAGACCAGGCCACCTTATAGTGGACATCTCAAATGGAAGCATCTACCTTAACAAGTCCCAAACCAAACTCGTCACATTACTCCCTAAACCTGCTCTTCATCAATAGACATAACACTGTCCTCCAAGTCTACTGTGACAACTGATGCCTTCTTGTCATTTCCTGGCTTGTCTCACTCTTCAGTGCATCCTCTTCTGTCACACCTCATCTTACCCTCAGATCACCCAACCCTCTACTCCAGAATAGGCACAATACTGAGTACCTGGCACTCTGCAGTTGCTTAATAAATAGTTGTGGAATGAATGAGTGAATGCCATTGCCTCAGCCTAGGGCTCTCCCACTCGGGCTGTTTCAATAACGCCTGACCGCTCTTTTAGTATTTCCCACCTTCACTAGAGACTTTTCTTTGCCAAAGGAGAAAAAAAAAAGCAATCAGAGCCAGGTGTGGTGGTTCACACCTGTAATCCAGCTACTCCGGTGGTGGAGGTAGTGTTCATATTATTACATTTCATGACTTAACATATATCTTTAGACAATATTCATAGGTATCAAATACTATATCACAAAAGATATATACATTTCTTTAAATCCTAGGAATATGTTCATTTTATTAGAAGTCTAGTGGTATATCAGGAATCCAAGTGGAAAGGTCTTGCTTTATTTTGCAAGATGAAAATGTTCTGGGATTATTTGCACAACAGTATGAATATATGTAACACTACTGAACTGTGCACTTAAAATGGTAAGATAGTAGCGTTTGTGATTTATGGTATTCACCACAATTAAAAA